TGTTTCTGACTATTATCGAATTTCTTGTTCATTATGATATTGTATACATTATGTTTAGAACAAGAAATGAATGTCCTCATGACAATTAAGTAGACATTATGATATTTATATATAATTATGGAACTTGATGTGTTGAACTATTAGTGTAGTAGTATATGGAAGGAAGTATGCGAATCGAGAGTGTACAACCGCCATAACTCTCACTATATGGTTTATCATGTCATAGTTTATTATGATGTATGGCATAACGAGATTTGTTTATGTGCACCTAAAGTTATATTATTAAATTATGGGCTTTCGGACCAAGTGGGAGAATGTAAGAATATGTGGCCCGAAAGCATTGGGCTCACAATTAATTATCCTATTGGGCTGGCCTTTATTTAATAGTCAAACAAATCTAAGCCATTAATCTGGATATTTGATGGACGTACCAGATCTAAAGACACCCCTATATAAATTGGTCCTCTCTCCTCCTATTAGGGTACGCAGTATTTTTCCCATCAATATTTTCTGCTACATTAAGAGAAGGCCAGGAGGGAGAAACTGATTTAGATCTAACACTTAATTCAACCTCGTGTGATCATCAAGATCAAGATCACAAATTATGTCGTCTTCCGCATCAAGTAAGTGTTTCGTATACACACAAATTATTTATTCAAGATCCTTAATGAAGTTTACATCTTGATGTAGATTCTCTGACGACCAAGTCAGTCCCTCGTATATGTATATGATAACAATCAATAGAACATGGATCATATGATAACCATACATCTAATTAATTTTATACACGAACAATTACCTTGTTGCTCAAGATTTCTATCTACTCAACAGAACTAGATATACACACACTTTATTGAATTAAATCCCCTGGGATCCTCGTAATTCCACCTTCAATAGATGTCACGGAGCTAATGTTTCTACCAAGTCGACCTACGGTCACCTTTGGAAATTAGACGCACTGCTTTATGGTAGCTAGATTGTCGAGGTCTCAAGTCACTTAGGTCATAGGTCAACAAATCGACCCAACACTCTCGGGAGACGTACCTCAATCCACCTCGACCTACTCAACTTATCACCTAAGTCGAGTTGAGGGAGTTCTGGTCTAGAACCGAGCTATGCAAGAGACCTAGTTCAGGACCATTGGGCATCAAATGCAGAATTAGCCGAAAAGCCTTGTCATAAGATACACTCAAGTACTGAGGCGACGTACTGAGTACTTGTGACGCTTTGCATATCGAGGCACCATATCCACCGTAGATATGTGAAAGATCACCCCTAAGATAAAAGCTTTCAAACTCAAGTGGCAATCCTGTATTTGTTTCTCGAATAATGTAGTAGTTGTGATAGCCTTGAAGGAGAATGTTCTTATTGATTGTACTAATAATGCTCTCCTCTCTTATAGCAAATTTTGACTCTTTCTATGGCTTGTAAGGTTGAACTTTTTCTAGTGTTGTAGGTTGTTTGCGTTAGTATACTCTTTCTCGTAGTTCCTTGGCCGTCTTTATTAGATCTCTCATGTGCTCTATAATCATTTGATTACCGTTGTACTTTTACTTTTGTTTCGAGTTATACATTTGTTTGTTTGCCATTTAAAAAATAAAAATAAAAATAAAATAAAAAAATAAATAAATTATTCTTATCAAATGTTCACTTAATGCCCAATTTGTCCTACTTTAAAAACACAAAATGAATGTTTTCATTTTTGGCGGAGATCATAAATTACAGGACATAAATTGCAACTTTGTTTATTTTAAAAATATGGATTAGACATAACTCTTCAAAAGAGTGAAGATGAATTTTTTTTGTATCGAAGATGTCTTTGATTTTCCCCAATTGGGAATAAATAAATAAATAAATTAACCATAAATGAATAAAACATGCGAATAAATAAAATATTGAGTAATAAAAAAAATATAACATCAGGAAATCATTTCAAGAATAATATCTTCTTCGTTATAACCCCAAAAAAAAATTAAAAAAAAACAATGCCATGTGCGCAGTTTACTTAATCGCACATGGTTAATCATTATTTAATAAATCCATTTACTTCAGTGCTTATTTAGAGTGCATTTTTTTTAAAAAAAAAGTAAAGTCTTTTTATCACCAATAAATTATATCACAAATTTCTCTTCTGAGGCATCTAAACGGTTAGTGGGTTAATTCACCACACTTCTCGAATAGTGTATGTTTATATTATAAAATATCATACTTTTATCGCAAAATTTCAAAAAATGGTCAGTTCAATAACACATGCGCATTTTATCTGACGAAGGATTAATCTCGTCTTGAATAGTTTTTTAATCTCTTCATTAGGTTTTGTTTATCTAGTTAATGACCTCAGCCTTGTGCTGCCTTAGCTTGCATTTGTACTTAGACCTCGTACGTGGGGTCTCCCATTATGTGTGTTTGTAGTATTTGATTATTGTACTTGATCAGTGTATTTGATTATTGTACTTGATCAGTGTATTTCAAGAAATGTTTGCTAGGAAAATAAGGTAAATTGCCACTTTAATCAAAATTCGTACAAAAACCAACATAATGTACGAAAAATGATTGCCATTGAAAATCGGTCTAGTGTGATATTATTTATCACTAGTATCCAATCATAAGTCTAATTTAAAAAATGAGAAAATAATTTGTTCACCTAAAAATTTCATTTTTATCATAAATCTAATTGATATACATACATTTCTTGTAAAGCATAATCCAGTGTCACATTCAGATCGAAAGCTTCCTTAACACTTGCTTCCCTTATAAAATAGAGTACAGAAATTGAAATTCTAATGGTGATTACAGTGCTCAGCAAAGCCATTATGATATGAAATCAACCAAATAATATTAAAAGTAATACATAAAATGATAAAGATATGATCGTTCCTTTCCTATATAAATTGTTAAGACCAGTGAGGACTAAGGACAGACACCCCTCTTCACAAACCCAACGAGCTGTTCAACACTGATGCGAACTGGACTTTCGAGTGGAAATTAAATCACATGGATGATGACGGTAGTAATTACGTTAGTTAATTATTTGGATAAAATAATTATATTAGTTTGTTTTTAAATTTTAAATGTGTTGGTTAGGATTAGTTATATAGGTTTAAATATTTAAATTTGAATGATGTTTATAGTAGTATTATAAATAAAACATTTGTATGTATTTTTGAGAATCAAGTTAAAAGTAACTAAAATTAAGAAAAAAGCTCTTCTTCTCCAAGTCATTTCTTAGTCAAAACAAAGACTGTTGGTGAGGGTTTTTCACTTATTAATGTGCGGACCAAGACCATCAGTGTGGGTTTACACATTTTATCGTGTTCGAAACAAGGCCGTTAGCGCGAGTTCTTACACAAAATCGAGTCTCGATACACGATCTTCATCAACACATTAAACTCGAAAGAATAAATATTATTTCACATAATTATTTATTGCAAAACTACCAATACAAATTTAAGGGGAAAGACGAATTCTTCATTTAATTGTGCTTTCTCAACAATAATGAATCTACAAGGACAACATCATATCCCTCAAACATAAATAAAAAGAAAAA